CATTAAATATATACTGTGCTTAGCTACTATTTGCTTAGCTTTATGGCAGAAGTTTAGATAGGGTGGTCAGGGAGGGTGGTCTGACTAAGCCAGGGAGCTATGAATATACTCCTTTCCAGGGTCCAAGTTCTTTCTTCTCACTTTGGAGAATGGAGACACGACGGGGAACGGCATAATTTGACATTCATTATTGTAAGACTACACAGGAGGGAAAACAAACTACAATTTTCTTACTTATAGGAACATTAAGTGGTCAAATAAAAATCTCAAAAAAGGGTACAGACTAAAAAGGAGGTATGCATTTTTTTAAAAAAGGCTGAAAACCACTGCCCACTATTTTTAACAAGTACTATAGATGAGGTGACACAGGCAATGCCATACACTATAGAACTGATAAATGTAGTAAGAACTCAAAGAAATGAAAGATCAGTACAAATTAGAATAGGTCAGGGCTTTGAAAGCTTTTTCTGTGAAAGGTCAAACAATAAATACTAGAAGCCACAGACAATATTTACACAAATGATCATTATAGACAATGAAATTAGAATTCCATGTAATTTTCACATATTACAAAATATTATTCAAAACTGTTTCCCCAACCATTTCCAAATGTAAAAAGCCATTAAACAAAGATAAACAGCAGACTGGATTGTGCTCACAGACTATAATCTGCAGACTTCTGCAGTAGATTTAAGGATCTGAGTAAACTCTGAAAAATAGACTGGATTTGGATTTTAAAGTCTTTCCTGGTATGTGATTAGTGTGGAGTGGCTGAGTACAGTTGCCATGTTAGAAAGCAGAAACTTACATATTTCTGAAGATATGTCTATGGAAGGTCTTCAAGGGCAAATAGGAGTTAGACCTTGTAGTGAGCAATAAGAAACCATTCTAAACTAGAAGTGAAATACAAAATTGGATTTGGACGGGCACAATACCTAAGAGATGGGCAAACACTAGAGGCTTGAAAGCACCTGAACTATCACAGAACTGAAAAGAGCCATTCAAGACAAAGACTTTTGGTGACTGGCTACTAGATAAAAGAAATAAAAGACAAATGAGTCAAGTTTCTTAAAGAAAAACTGATCAGTCTCAGCAACAGATGGTGCTAACACTTGAGTTTCAGGTGACAGTATTACCAAGACAAGTGAAAACACAGAAATGAAATGAGGTAAAGTCAAGATTAGTAACATCAATTTCAAGATCACAAACTTGAGAAAATAATTTAAGAGACCATTTGATGTGATACCCTTTGTAACAAGCATTCCAAGAGTTATTAATTTAGACATAAAGTAGAAATCTGGATCTCTGTCTCTCCTTCCCTTTAACAGTCAACCAAAGCAAAAATAAAGAAGCAAATAAAGAGAGATATTATCTTGGTTCTAAAATGGCAAGTATAGAAAGAAATACAAAATGCTGGATCACAATACTGAATAGGAAGAAAATGAACAAACTGTATACCCTATTAGAAGGCAAAGAATCAGTTCTCCAAGGCTGTCTGACAATGCCAAATATAGTTAACGAAGATAGGAATGCAGAGATAATTTATTTCCCCATTACTCCTATTAACCTTGTGTTAATATTTTCCCCCAAATCCTTCAATTTGGCTTACAATGTACAAAGTGAGTTCATACATTTTTACCTTATATTTCCCCCCACTCCCCCGTTAATTTATCCACACCTTCCTATGCTGTGGGTCCACAGTGTCATTACCTTAATGTCTTTTTTTCTCACTGATCCCAATCCTGCAACTTCAAAAGGATATCTCCTTTATCTAAATTTCTTTGCACCGATTCTTAAATCAATACGTACTACTTTGTATATGGCTCTTCTACTGGGTTAACTGGCATTTATTCCTAAATCGTCAAGCACGGAAGTTTCGCACCAAAGCTGTAAGCTCTTTTAAGGGAGCAAACATTTTATATTTCCTTGTATCACTCTAGTGCCTAGGTGCTCAATAAAATATTGGTCAGGGATAATAAAATAGACTAAACCTAATATGAGGCTAGGAAAATGAAAATTCATTTTTCCATTAACTCTTCGTGATGAAAAGCTTGAAAATCTAACCAAATGGAACCACACTAGTCATTATTTTAACCCAAAAATTACAGTTATGCATAACTTTTTCCCAATAGTCCTAAGGAGTAAAATACAGACATAACCAAATATTAACAACCTATTTTATCTGACTGCAAATCTAAGGAATTGTGGACAATCTCCAAAATAGAGAAAACAAAACAAAAACTTTTTTGTCTCTCTTACTTTCGAAGTTCTACTTGCAGTCAAAACATTCAAATTCAAATGCTTCTTCTATAAAGGTTTCCCAAAGAGGCCCTGATAGAAACAGTGGCTCTCTTTTCCACATTTCTTAGTACTTGTAACCATCAATATTTATTACTGTAAAGTTACTACCGCTTCAACTACAGCTTGAGCTACATTATTTCTAACTTATCTTGGTACCCCTAAGGCCAGTCACATAAGGGCCGAACCAAGTTAATCTGAATTAATGAATACAAACTGGATGCTTTCAAACAAATTTTAATACAGATGATTTCTTTTTTCAAAGGAATTCTTGTATTTAGGAAGACTATTTTTAATAGACAAAAATAAAAGCTGCCCTGGTTTCTAAGGGTGAGATATCAAGGAAGTCTCAAGGCATCCAGCAAAAATCCATAAGGGATCCAAGGAACAGAATTTGAAAACCAATTAAAGTTCATACCTAAAATTCTAAGCAGTGAACTAATATTTTTCTTTGTTTTCCTAGTCTGAGAAAATTACCACCAACCTTCACTTAAATAGGAGCTTGATTACTCAAGTCACCAAATAATGGAACACTTTACAAACTTTCTTCACAGTTCTTTCCAAAACCAGACTCCCGTGGTGTACCCCAAATGTATTTTACAAACATCCTTTAGGAACACAAATGTTACTAAAACAGAACACTATACACTTCTTGAGTCAACTATATCATCTGCATACTTTCTAGGTATGCAAAGAAAAAATCAGTCCAAATAAATTTCAAAAATAATATCTATGGAAACTTAAGTTGTGACAAAACATTCTGCAGCTACCAAGAAAATCCCAATTATGCCATTTTATGTTTAAGAACTGAATACTAAAAGCAACACTTGTGTTAAGTACCATTAATGATGAAAAAGTAAAAGTTTAGTACGGTCTTCTTGAGAAGTAACTTTTTCCTCAATGTAAAAGTGAGTTACAAATTATTATTCTAAGCTTGAATTCCAAATATTCTAACTTGAATTCCAAAAAAAAGAATGCAAATACAATATTTTATTCCTTAAAAAAATCTTAACTCTCAAGGTCGAAATAATTTTCTCCAAAAGAGTTTAAGTGTACAGATTAAATCAGCCTTTCAAACAGAAAAAGAGAGGGGTGGGGTCCTGGTTTCAAAACATTTAGGATAAGTACCATGTGACAGAATTAAGACATTACTTTTGCAATAGGATTTCTAAAGTGCTAAAGTAATTTACATGTGGGGGAGTGGTGCTAAAAAACTGATAAAGATATCAGAATTCTGTGACAATTCTTTCTTGGATATCCAAGTGTAATACACCCCATTTCCAATGCTCTTATAATTAATGTACAAAGAATGGTAAAATACATGCTGAAGTGGGTTAAAAAAAATGTAGCCTACCCATGACAACCAAATCTAGTCACCTGAACTGCTCTAATTTCTGCTTTAAGTCAATTAGATCACAAGTGCTACTTCTTGAAAGCTAAATGCAGATATACCCAGATTTTCAATCATGTATGTTTAGTCACGCTCCAAGGCCTATGCAAGTTTTTGGTAATCTGCATTTACCAGGGTCTTCCTCTGATCAACTACAGATACAAGAAATATGGGTCAATTTCAAAGAACAGATGAAAGAGCCAAAAATGAAAAAGCAATTTAAAATGGAAGCGAAACCTTAATCTGAAAACTGCCTAGTAGGTTACCGGTATGGTCAGTATTTCTATCTAAGAATACTAAATAAGAGTACAGTTTCATCACATTAAAGTCAAATAAACCGGAATTGACAGTACTTCCAAACATTTTATTAAAATATTTTACTCAACTAAATACTTTTCTGAAGCGTTGAATCCAGATCAAATTTTTGTTAAAAGAACCATCTTAAGTGGAGATTTAGAGAAATATTCCCTGAAATGAATGAAAACATCAATGGAAATAAACACTTATTAATTATTCAAATTGAATACTAGTTTTGGAATTTAAGTAGAGTCGGCAAACCCCGCCCTCCCAACACCTGTAGAAGACTGCATAAGGAAAGATCAGTAAACATAGCGACGCATTTCACTGTTTCATACCTGAACACTTTTTAAAAAATGATGTCGTTTCCTACCAATTACAAATGCAAAAGCAAATTATCGATGGGAATTTGAACTTAAAAACGCGCATACACACCATCTGTATGCCTCTTTTGGTCTATACTTAAAACATTTGAATTCCACATATTAAACATGGGCCCAAACTGGATTTCTATCATATTGTAAAAGCATAACCATCTTCCTTACAACTTTCTCGGAATTTTACTAAACGTCCTGATAGTTTGCCTAGACTTCCGAGTACCTTTCAGTCTCAGCTACACCCTGAGCCTCCACCTCACTTGCATTTCTAATAACGCCGGAGAGGGAGGGAGAGAGGGAGTGAGTGTATTTATGTGTGGATAAGTGCGCGCGCGCTCCCGCGCAGTTCCCCACCCCCACCCCGATACTTTTCTTTAGTGGAAACAAGAGGGAGAATCTAGAGGTTATTCTAGCGAAAACTCAATTTCAAAGCCTCAACCCAGTCGCAGCCTACCCTTAGGACCCTGTGTTTTGGTTGCGCAGTGCAACTTCTCACATCCTACCCCGAGCTTTAGAAGCAGACAAGAAATTGGTGAACAGAACCCAGGGAGGAGGGGGGAGCTAGGGGGGGAAAAGTGAAAGGGCCGATCCCCCAGAAAGGCGCTCAAGTTTGCAATGAAGACTCTGTCTCCGCGAATATGCGCCCACCCCACCTCTCCCGTTCCAGGTGGAACTCGTTAACAGCGGCCGCCCGGCTAATACACACCGCCACCTTCCTCCCCCACGCACCATCGGAGACCAGGGCAAGTGAGGGCGGCGGGCTGGAGCGGACTCCGGCCACCACCAGGCCCCCGCCGACCCCTGCCCCATCACCTGTGGGGAAAGCGCCCCCTCCCCCGGCCTCTCTGCCCTTCACGCCGCCCGTCTGCCCCCCACGGCAGCCGCTCCCCGCCCGGCCTGCGAGGACAGAGCGCGGCGCCGGGCTCCCCTCCGCCGCGGCGGGGCCCCAGCCCCTTGAACTGGTTACAACCGGCGGCGGCGACCGAGCGGGGCAGTGGGCGGCGGGAGGGTCCCCGGCTGGGAGGGGGAGAACGGGCAGGCCCAGAGGAGCGGGGAGTCGCAAGGTCCTACCTAACACCGTCGGTCTCCTCCGTCTCCTCCTCAACGGCAGCGGCCCCGGTGGTGGCGGCGGCAGCGACATTCCTGGGGAGCGCTCCCGCCGCCGCCGCCTCCTCCTCCACTCTCTGCTCGCCTCTCTTCCCTGGCGCGCTCACCGAGCGCCGCGTCCCTTCAGCCACCTCCCCCCGCCCGCCCCAACACACACGCCCCGAAACCTCAAGCCCTACGGCTCCCGTGGCCGGGTAACCCACCCTCCCTCCCTCCCCGCCACCAGCGGCGGCCCCGTCCCTCCCCCCTTCCCCGGCGCCCGCTGCCGCGCCGGGCTCAGTAATGGCGGCCACTCGGGCTCCCTCGCGCTGACGGATCTCTCCCTCTCTCCCGAACTTTACCTCAGCATCTCTCCCGGCGCGCACCGCCGGAACGCACACGCGCGCGCGCTGCCACACACCCGGCCGGGGGCGGAGCGGCGGCGCAACCTCGACGGGGCGCGCGCGCGCGCACCCGCACCGCCCTCCCCACAATCCCTCGCCCCCGCCGCCCTCACCTCGCGACGCCTCCCGCGCCGCGCGCCCGGCTGGGCCCCGCCCCTGCTCTCGTCTCCCGGGAGCCTGGGAAGGCGCGAGCGCCGGAGCCGGAGGGAGGGAGCGAGCGCGCGGGGCCGCGTTCTCGCTCGCGTCCAGGCTCCCCCATTGGCTTCTGCCCCTCCCCCTCCCCCTTCTTCCTCCGCCTCTCCCATCCATTGGTTCCCTCTCCTACTCCATTCCTTCTCACCTTTTCCCTTTTACCCATTGGCGTGAATATTTTTCCTCTGCTTTCCCCCTTTCTCCGTATCCTGCTCCTCCTCCGTCCCATCCTCCACGCTTTAGAAGCTGCCGACCAAGCAGCTCTGAGCACTGTCGTCTCCGAACCTTCCCTGCTTTCTCCCTTTCCTTCTGTTCCGGTTTCTGGCCGTAACTGAGAGCAACCACAGTACTGCAAAGGAACCTGATATTGTGTTAGCCGTTACAAAACATCGCATGGGCATTGAATGGTTCTCGATAAATCAGCCTACGCTCTCTGAGTATTAAAGAATTGAAGAGAGGAAAATACATGCACCAAGCTCGTTCTCAGGGACATGCTCCCGCGTGTGCAGCCAGTTTCCTGCCTGGGATCGCTGGCCAACTAGACGGCACCCGCCCGGGACCTGATGCCGTACTCACCCAGAAAGCAAAACTCCATGGGAGCAAGAAGATGCCGTTTCTCCGTCAACACCGCACAGGGACGGAGGCAGGCCCTCGGTTTAATCCATTCTTAAGGAAATTGAGCGAGATGCCAAGCCATGGGGCGGATTGAATTCAGGGTGGCCCAGAAGACCCCTGCTCACACTACTACTGAGCAAACCTTTACGAACCATCGGTCACCTGGCTTTTATTATACTGTCTCAAATATAGTCAATATATTTGGAGACGCAGAAATATCACAAGTTTGGAGGTACCCTGGGCTTTTGGCGTATTTCTCATTTGAGCATTGCCATTGAGTCGTGGTTAAAGGGCGGTGGAAAAATGTCTTTTCTTTCATCACTGAAGAAACTGAGGTCTTGTGACTTTCCCAAGGTCATCAGAATCTGTCTTACACATAGTTCTTAAAATAGCTGCCGGCAGATGAAAGAATGAATGAGCAAAAACATAAATCTACCCCAATTTGTTACGTTTAAAAGAAAGAAGTAATTTGGGGGCCAATTTCTCTTTGGGAGTAGATTTATTTCCTGCATTGAAAACGGTTCATCATCAGTAAACATATAAAAAAATCTTTTAAATTTAAAGTATTCTTTATTTCTTATGTTACATAAGATACTTTAGTTAGCCAAGGTTGCTTTTTAGTGTTATAATGATGCAGTCGCTTCCAACCAGAAGTACGTTTAGGCTCTGTCAGTAAAGAGAAACAAAACTGCCTTTTGGTAAAAAATCTGTTAGAAAATATTTGTCAGTAAATCTGCCACAAAATTTCAGCAGAAGTCCTGTTCCTTTCTTCCACACCCTTGCCCTTCTACTCCATATTTCTCTAAGGTAAACTTAATAGACAATAGCAGAAGAGATGTTTAATTTCTCTGTCTCTTGCTCCCTAATTTTAAAAAGGCATGACTAAAATTACTTCCTCCAGCCACTCCCTTGCATCTGAATGGTGCCAAATAGGTTAAGTGAGGTATCTAGGTACTTCTTTCAGTTAAAAACCCGAGGCAAGGAAAAAGGACACTACAGAAAACTTGCAAAGAAAGAAAATATAGAAAAAAAGGAAGAAAAAGAGGAGAGGAGGAAATTTTGGAGAGTGGACCCATCAAAATGCGGTACTAATGCCTTAATACACACATCACTTGTACAGGTTGGAAAGTCCATGCATTTAAATGCATTTTTTTGACCTTTGTATTAAAAGTTCCTAAAAGTACAAGAAGCCAATTCAAAGCTATAATTTTGATTTTGAAGTTTTAAGTACTATAATAGGGTGTCCACCCTAAAGATACTTTAAAAATTATTTCCTAAATAATCAGAAATTTCATAACCATGGCATGTATCAGTACAAACGAAAGTCAAATCAGGGCTTTTAAAGGTGTTAACATTCTTAACATATTACTGTTTTCTTCAAAACAGGACATCATACTGAAGAATCAGGACAAAACACTGGAGAGAAAAAAAGACTTTTCAGATTTCTTTTTCTCATAATATAGACACAAGAAAATGAAGTGGGGCAGGGATGGGGGAAAGCCATGGTTTTCAAATGATAATTTTCATAACTAACATTGTTTTTAGTCTTTAGCCCTCCTATATCATCCATTGTGATTTAAGGAGTCTGAACTTTACAACTTTGCTCCTTATTAATACTAATACACCGGTGAGCTGCTTACCAGTACAAGTAACTAACATATTTATATCATTTTAATTTTTGTAACTGCTCCTCTTGAAAAAGCAAGCATACAGTTTTCTGCACAAATAAAAATCTGAAAATGGAAAAAGGGGATCAAAGTTCTATGGTTAAAAATACTTAGATATATACAAATAAAGTCTATAAAGAGCAGAAAATAAAACAAAACTCAAGGATAATATGGCATATTTTAAAACTGATCAGGAACCATGCCTTCAGGGAAACAGCTTTAAACGCCAATCCTCCCCACCCAAAACAAAAAAACTTTGAGAAAATAAGTAACTTATCATTTTACATACACACAGAAACACTCTGGAGAGACAGAGTAAATATTACCAACCCCTCTCAGATCAACTACTCTTCTTATCTAAAAAGGAAAAAATTTAAGCACTTGTTCTCCACTGGATAATTAAAATCACCCAAATCTTTGTTCTTCATTTACTTTGAAAAAATTAGCAGAATAAGATTTCAGTCAGGCATCTTAGGTTTTTAATTTAAATATCCTCCACAAATTTCTAGTTCTTCAACACATCCTAACAAAGTATTCATATGCACAGTTTTTTTAGGATCAAAAGAGATGACAGCCATAAAAAATGTCATCAACATTCCAGCTTCTACTATCAGCAGTAACACTACATATAATATTCAGATGTTTGATGTGATGTGGTTTCAAAAGAACTTACCCTATAGAAGTGGGTACACCCCCTGCTGGAAATCTCTGATTATAACTACTTTGGCTTTTGTAGCCTGAACCAAAAATACAGGAAAAGCCATAAAGGGCCTTTCCATTCATGACAAAATTAACCTATACTTTTTGCCTGTCTGACATTAAGACAGGCTTTTGGAAAAGACTATCTCAGAATATCACCCCGATTACAGAAAACATACATGAAAAAGTTGGAGAATAACAGAGGCAAATAACAATAACCAAAGCACAGGAAGGTTATTTCTTGTCTGATTTCCTACAGAATTTCACAACTCGTTTCCACACCCCAACTAACCCCTACCTCCTCCCTTGACCTTTCTCTTTCTCCATATCTCATATAGTTAGACCTACTGGGAGGAGGGAAAGCAGGGTATTCGGGGTGTTATTCCTATGAGCAGGCAAATACCGATAACCAATAGCCACAGTATAACCACAGGAGCCATTTGCTGAGTTAAGGTGCTGAAAGGCTTTCTCCAAATTTGCTTTATGGCTACCAATGATATTTTCAGCATGAAGAAAAGGTGTTAATTATGTTTTGGCTATTACCGTAGAAAATATTTTGACAAGAGTTAAGGTAATTGTGAGCATGGGACTGGAACAGTAGGAAAGAAATGCAATGACCTTATTGGCATTTTGTTCCACAAAACCTTATTCTGTTGATTTTTCAGAATTATATTTTCAGACTGAAATCCCAAAGATGGTATCAGAGTCTAGCTTCAAAATGTCACGTTCATGCCGCTCTGGTCCTTGGACATAACTGGAAGAGTAAAATTAAAATTCTGTTTTGGAATAATTAGTATTTTATAAAGTTATTTGTAATGCAGACTCCTTTTAGAGGAATAACAATTCATTCAGGTCCCACCAGCACAAATACTTTAATTAGACAAAAATCTTCAAGTTATTTCCTCTCACAAAAGGAGGTATTGTTGAGCCATCTGGACCCTCCATTGAGTTTTTATGAAAGATCGCAGCTTGAATTTAATCAACCCCAATAAGTTTAACCCCATAAAGCTAAAAAATAACTGCAAAGGTTGCTAAGAATTCCCTTTGAGATTGTTACCACTGTAATTTGTAAATCATTACAGTGGGAAACAGAAACCTGTATTGCTTGACTGTTTAACTATACACATAATTTTTGTGAATATCATTCCCACTCTCTAGATTGTAAGCCCCTCAAGGTAGGAATCACAGATGAATGTTTGACCCTGTTCAATAACTAGAATTTGATTAGTAGAAAGTTCAGTAAACATTTGGTAATAATAATATGAAACATTCTAGGTTTTATGAATTTCTGTGGATTTATTACTAACAGAAGGCTTTGGATTTATTTTGAAATACCAGCTGAGATAATCACTTTGGAAAATACAAATCATTTAAACAAATTGCTGAGTTACCTTGTGAAAGTTGAGTTAGATATCCTTCCCCAAGTACAACCTGTATTTCTCCATATTACATCTCCCTGGTAGGTAATTGTGAGTTACCAGTGACAAGTAACCATGGATCTAAAATGTCAAGGAATATTCTAAAGAACTGGTGCAACTAACAGTTTCTGAAATCAATAATGAGGTGTCTAATCACTTCACAATTAAGGCTTTGTTATTTCCGCCTAGTATTATAAACTACAGTAGATGGTAAATGTCTTGCCAATCCATGCTTCAGAATTTTCTTCAAAAAGCTTCACAAATAACAATGTGATTTTTTCTGATGAATGCACTGGTTCTTTCAAGCATACCTATTACATAGTGAAGAGTAATAACACTCATCTTTCCCCAAATAGGCTTCTCATCTCTCTTCAGCACAGCCCAGCACAGGGCTCTGGCATATACTTCATTTATTTCTAGCTTTGGTTCTCTTAGGTGCAGACATTAAACAACTCTTCTATTCTTTCCCCCAAAAGTATTTACATTAAAAATTCTGAGATTTTACAAACATGATAAAGTAAAAGTGACAAAAGTTCATAAAAGCTCTATGTGTCCTATAAATCAAACTCTTTAAAATTAAATAAAGTGGATTTAATTAAACTTTAATTGGATTTAATTAAAATAGATTAAATTAAAAATTAGAAATAAATTTAAAATATTTTAAAATATATATTTCTGGAGGTAGAAAGATATTCATATTTTCTGTGAAAAACAGACTACAAAGCAATGAAGGAAGTATAGTTCTATTTTTATAAAAAGAAAATGTTTTGAAAAC